GGAGTAGGGGACACTGGGCAGGGACAGTGGCAGGGGCAGTGGGCAGGAGTAGGGGACACTGGGCAGGGGCAGGGGCAGACATCCTGTCCCCCAGGGAGGAGGTGAACGAGAAGCTGCGGGACACGCCCGACGGCACCTTCCTCGTGCGGGACGCGTCCAGCAAGATCCAGGGCGAGTACACGCTGACGCTCAGGTGGGTCCCGGTGCTGGGGGTGAGGGGCTTGGGCGCGGGACCGCTGGACACCACGCCGTCCCCGCAGGAAGGGCGGGAACAACAAGCTGATCAAGGTCTTCCACCGCGACGGCCACTACGGCTTCTCGGAGCCGCTGACCTTCGGCTCCGTGGTGGACCTCATCACGCACTACCGCCACGAGTCACTGGCCCAGTACAACGCCAAGCTGGACACGCGGCTGCTCTACCCCGTGTCCAAGCACCAGCAGGACCAGGTCGTCAAGGAGGACAGCGTGGAGGCCGTGGGCGCCCAGCTCAAGGTCTACCACCAGCAGTACCAGGACAAGAGCCGCGAGTACGACCAGCTGTACGAGGAGTACACGCGGACCTCACAGGTACCGCCCGCGCCGGGACACCGAGGCACGGGCCATCAGTCAGAACAGCAGTCTGTGACCATTACTTGGGCCACCGTCCAGCACTGATGGCAGGACCCCGTGTTGAAAATGCAAAGGAGGCTGTAAAGGAGGGAGGGGCTTGACGGGTGGGACTTTGAAGGCTGCGTAAGAGTTCACTCTGCAGGGTGAGCAGCCTCCCTGCTAGAGTGGTCACTGCCTTCAGCCCTCGTGAGGGAGTTTTGGGGAACCCGGGGAGGCACAGAGGCTGTGTCCCCTCCACCCCCACCACGCCAGGAGCTGCAGATGAAGCGCACAGCCATCGAGGCGTTCAACGAGACCATCAAGATCTTCGAGGAGCAAGGCCAGACGCAGGAGAAGTGCAGCAAGGAGTACCTGGAGCGCTTCCGGCGGGAGGGCAACGAGAAGGAGATGCAGAGGTTCGCTGCCGCCCTGCCCGGGGAAGGACGAGTAGAAGTCCGCCAGAGAGCGCGATCAGAGGGCGCACGGAGGGCTCGGGCAGGAGCGTGGACGCCTCTCGTCCCCTCCCTGCCCGCAGGATCCTGCTGAACTCGGAGCGGCTCAAGTCCCGCATCGCCGAGATCCACGAGAGCCGCGCCAAGCTGGAGCAGGACCTGCGGGCGCAGGCGTCGGACAACCGCGAGATCGACAAGCGCATGAACAGCCTGAAGCCCGACCTGCTGCGCCTGCGCAAGACGCGGGACCAGTACCTGCTGTGAGCCGGCGGACGGACGGACGGACGGACGGACGGACACACAGATGTGGGACCAGGGCCTGCTGTGAGCGGGGCGGACGGACGGACACAGACGGAAGTGGACAGAGAGATGCAGGACCAGTGCCCCCGTGTGAGCGAGGGAGTGACAGACAGACGCAGAGAGAGAAGGGGCGGGGGCGCTGGACCGCAGGCACCAGGAGCCTGTGTGCTCCTTCAGTGCCGGGGAAACTGAGGCACGCAGGAGCAGAGCCCTGGCTGCCCGTGTGAAGGGTGAGGGGCAGGGCTGTGCTGCAGCCGCCCCGTCCTGGTCGAGGCCACCTCCTTACGGCACCCGGGGGCATTGCACTTACAGCCCATGTGCCCAGGCCGCCGTGGGCTCTGCCTCAGTTTCCCCTCCAGCACCGCGCTCACCCCGCGTCCCTCGCAGGTGGCTCACCCAGAAAGGCGCCCGGCAGAAGAACATCAACGAGTGGCTGGGGATCAGAAATGAGGCTGAGGAGTGAGTAGCCGCCTCCAAGGACACGGGGAAGGGGCCATCCGGGGAGGGTTGTGCAAGATGAATAGGAGTTTGCTGGGGACGCCTGGCCATGCCGGCAGTGCGCCGGGTGACGAGTGACCGGGACACCTTTCCCCCGTCCCGCACAGCCAGTACGCGCTGATGGAGGACGAGGACGACCTGCCGCACCACGAGGAGCGCACCTGGTACGTGGGCAAAATCAACCGGACGCAGGCGGAAGAGATGCTGAGCGGCCGGCGGGACGGGACGTTCCTCATCCGGGAGAGCAGCCAGCGGGGCTGCTACGCCTGCTCCGTCGTGTGAGTGCGCACGGATTGAGCACCGACTGTGTGCCGGGCCAGGGGGAGCAGGGGGAAGCCGGGGGTGGGGCCCCTCTGACCCGCCCTGTCCCCGCCTCGCAGGGTGGACGGGGACACCAAGCACTGCGTCATCTACCGCACGGCCACCGGCTTCGGCTTCGCGGAGCCCTACAACCTGTACGGCTCGCTGAAGGAGCTGGTGCTCCATTACCAGCATGCATCCCTCATGCAGCACAACGACGCGCTGGCCGTCACCCTCGCCCACCCCGTGCGCGCCCCGGGCCCGGGGCCGCCGCCCACCGCGCGCTGACCCGGCCTCTGTCCTTCCGGCCTCAGGGCCCCTCCAGGCTGCAGCTGCGCCTGCCATGTTTACAGAGGCCCCGGGCTGCGCGGCCCCAGCCTGGGCGCCCCGATTTTTAAGCCATAGATCTGGGGTCAGGCCAGGAAGAAACTTCATGCCCGGCTGCTTCCAAAAACCCTTCGCCCTGACATTTGGAGCTGGGCTGGGCTGGGCCGTGCCGGGCCGGGCGGGACCCGCCCCGGGGACCCCGCTTCCCTTCTCCATGCTGAACTGAAACCAGCGGTTCGCAGAAGTCCCCAGAGACCAGAAGGCAGCGATGCCACAGCCGCCCCCACCGGGTGGCCTCATGCGACACTGCCGGCGGGGCCGCCGGGAAGCAGCTTTTTGTTGTGTGTTCCTGTGACACCCCCTTTCTCCCCCGTTTTTGGGGCGCAAGCCCCGGGTTTCTACACTACACTTGGACTGGCGCGGGTTTGTACGGTACGCTGTCATTGGCGCGGATATAAAACGGTGACAGGAGCGTGGTGACTCGGTGACTCGTGTCGTGCGGGCGAGGACCCTGCGGTGTCAGCTGTCCTCCCCTCCCTCTCACCGCATCCCTGACCCCGGCCTCGGGTGGCAGAGGCAGGCGGTGGTGACAGGTCACCGTGCGCCCTGGGCGTGGATGCGGGTGGCCGGTGTCCTGCTTGCACACTGAGCGGCTGTGCGACCTCCACACACCTGCCCTCTCTGGGCAGCCTCAGGGGCTCTGCAGTGACCACCGCTGCAAAATGGCCTTGGACACCCTGGCCTCACGGGGACGTTTGGGACACTCGTGGCCAGTGCAGAGACGTTTCTCAAGCGCTGCTGGAGCTGCGGCCTGGGCAGCGCGGGGCCAAGGCGCACGTGGGGCTGGGTGCTCGGCGCGGGCCCCACCCAGCCCCAGCCATGAGGAGGGGAGGAAATGGCTGTGAGTCAGGGCGGGTGGCTGCGCCCGGGGACTTCAGGGGAACTCCGGCAGGGTGCGGGGTCCCCAGAACTGACCACCGCAGCAGGACCGCGGGGTGCTGACCTGAGGGTCTGCAGCGTCCCCCCGAGATCCCCAGAGCCTCTGTGCCCAGGTCCAGCCTCTCTCTGCCTGGCCGCCCCTGCTTGGGGACCGTCCCCAGCCGCACAGTCCCGGGGTGCAGCCCCCTAGCCCCTGCCTCTGAGGCCGCCGTTGCAGAGGGGAGACCTGGTCACTGAACGGTCAGCGGAGTCCTAGGGTCCGGTCCCCAAGCTGCCATGTCCCCCCTCCAGCCAGTCTTGAAAGACTTGGGGACAGGCCAGAGAGGGAGGGAGGCCAGCTGTGTCCGCCGAACCTCGCGCATGCTTCTGCTTTCTGGTCCGCTGCGGCCAGGGCGGTGGGGACGCGGGCTGCGGAGCGCAACTGCTCCAGAGGCTGGGGGACCGGGGGTCACCGAGGCGGCCCCGACCCTCATGTCGCCGGGCCGGGCTGAGCCGACACCGCGGCGAGGAGCACGGCCAGGTGGTCACGTGACGTGGGGCTCAGCACCTGGCGGGCGGGGGCGGGGCCAGAATGAGCACGCTGTGATTGGGGGCGTGGCCTGGAGAGGATCCCAGCTCACTGGCGCCTAGGTAGCGGGGCGTGGCCTGCAGTGGGCGTGGCCTAGGCTTGGGCGCTCGTGAAGTAGGCCTCTGGGTGGGGGCGAGGCCTTAGTGGTGACGTCATCCGGGGGCGTGGCCCGCACCGAATAAAAGCACCTCTTCCGCCCCGCCGCCCTCCAGTCGCCGCGCTTTTGACCCCCCTGGCCATGTCGCCCGTCCTGTCCCTGTCCTTCCTGCCGCTGCTCCTCGTCCTTCTGGTCGCCGTCCCCGAGGCAGGCTCCTTGGAAATGTCCTTCGAGGGGTCTGCCACCTGTAAGGTAGGGACGGAGCCCTGGAGGAACAGACGCCTCCTAACTTCACGGGGACCCAAGGGACAGTCACTGCCCAGCCCCGGCCGGACACCCCACCCCCACCCCGCGAGCCCCTGGGTCTCCGAGGCGTTTCACATCCCCCTGGCTCACAGCTGTCACAGACCCCGTCCCCTCGCCCCGCGCGCATTCATTAGGCGCCTACTGTGTACGCACTTGTGGGTCGGGTGCGGGAGCCCAGACCAGCTCAGCAGCTCCCGCGTTCCGGCCCGCGTGCCTCGGACGCTCTCGACACGGCCACGGCCACGGCCACGAGTGTGACCCGCCACCCTGCAGCGCCGAGCGGAAGTCAGCATGTATTAGGCGCCGCCTCTGTGGGGGCACCGGGCTTGCGACTCACGTGGGTCCCTGGAGAGCGACAGTAAATAAGGAGGCTGCGTGGGCGAAGCGCCGTTCTTGATCCAAATGGGGACAAGGCTCTGGATGGAGGGGGTGAAGTGACCAGAAGTGTGCAAGGATTCGGCTCCTGTGGTGTGCACCTCCGAGAAGGCAGTACCAGGAGACCGAGGGCAGAAAGGAGCAGAAATGCACAGGCCCTGAGCTCTTACTGCATGCGGGGCCTCTGCACGGCCGCCTGGAGAGAAGGGCCAAAGGGCTGTGCAGCTGTTAAGCGCCTCCTGTTTGCCAGGGTCCGAGCCAACTGTTGGCAAGGCTGGAGCCCCTTTTGCAGATGAAGTGACGCCAGGAAGATGGCACTGATGCCTGGCACCTGCTGGATGCCCCCTGCCCCTGGGGCCATGGGTTGGGGTGGCGTGGGGGGGGGGTTGGAGAGGCTGGAGGGGCGCCCGCTGTATGCAGTTTCCCTAACGGTCCCCTGTCGCCAGCCCCCGGGGCTGTGCCTGCAGGGTCCCCTCCGAAAGCCGCGGGCGGCGCCGCCCGTGACCGTGGACCTGTACTACGAGAGCCTGTGCGGGGGCTGCCGGAGCTTCCTGGTGCGAGACCTGTTCCCGACGTGGCTCATGGCCCTGGAGATCCTCAACGTCACCCTGGTGCCCTATGGGAACGCTCGTGTGCGTGGGGAAACTGAGGCCGGGCGGGGGAGGGGGGAGGGGCGGGGCGGCGCCCGGCCTCACCCGGGGCCCCGCGCGCTTTGCTTTTAGGAGCGCAGCGTGGGCGGCTCGTGGGAGTTCTCGTGCCAGCACGGGGAGCGCGAGTGCGCGCTCAACAAGGTGGAGGTGAGCGCGCAGGGCCGGGGCTCCCCAGGCCGGCTTGGGGGGACCCCGGGCGCCCCCTCACCCCCTGCTGCCCCAGGCCTGCCTGCTGGACCTGCTGGACTGGGATGCCGCCTTCCTGACCATCGTCTGCATGGAGGAGATGGATGAAATGGAGAAGAACCTGAAGCCGGTGCGCCAGCCCTTGCCACCCCATCCCGGGCAGACCCAAGTTCAAGGGCAAAAACCTCAGGAAAAACGGGGTGTGCGGTGTTAGGAGTGACCCCGAGGCCTTTCCTTCTCACTGGGCCGCCCCACTGAGGGGCGGGGGTGAAAAATAAGTCGCCAAGTACGAAAAAGAAGTCCCCAAAGGGTGAGGCATTCGCCACCATCGTTTATTCACTCATCAAACACCCAAGCCACGCAAGTGGGGTTTGGGGACACTGAGGAGTTTGGGAAAGGGGGGGTGACCAGCAAATGAGGAAACGACACAGGGGCGTCAGGTCTGCCTGGCTTCCACTGGAGCCCGTATTGAGCGCCTACTATTTACAAGCGTCCCCAAGGGGGAAGTATGGCCGGGCACGGGGGACGGTTGGGTTGGGTTGGGTGGGGAGATAACGGGGAGGAAGCTGAGCCCCGTGTCCCCCGGCAGTGCCTGGAGGTGTACGCCCCCCCGGTGTCGCCCAGCGTCATCCTGCAGTGTGCCACCGGCGAGCGGGGCCTGCAGCTGATGCACCACAACGCCCAGCTCACCGACGCCCTGCAGCCGCCGCACGAGTTCGTGCCCTGGGTCGTCGTCAACGGCGTGAGCACGGTGGCGGGGGGGGGGGGGCGGGGTGACCTCGGGGACCCGTCCCACCGGTCATGAGATCTCTGAGCCAGGCCAGCCTCAGTCCCCTGAGCACTGGGCTCCCAGGCCTGCTCTGCGTGACCCCCGACCCCCCGTCCCTGTGGCTTTGTGCAGAAACCTCTGAAAGAGCTCGGCCAGCTCCTCAGCCTCGTGTGCCACTTGTACCAGGGCGAGGACAAGCCGGACGTGTGCTCGTCCATGCCCGCCTCCCCCCGCACGGTCTGCTACAAGTGAGGCTGGCTCGGTGGGCCAGGACTCAGCAGAGGACGTCACCCGGCAACTGCAGAGCTTCTACATAGACCGCAAAGCCCGGACCCAAAGCTCCACCACGACCAGGGCCTCACCGTGTGCTGCTCAGTTTACACTCGTTGAGGAAAATAATAAACCCCCCTTTTGATTTCTGTGACTCCGTTCTCCTGGATGGGGCCTCATTGCCTGGGACGGATTTCCTCCTACCTGTGCCTCCAGAGTAGCTGGGATCACAGGCGTGCGGCACCACACCCAGCTTATGGATCGAGATGGCATCTTGCTAACTTTTTACCAAGCTCCCAGTCTCCACCTGCCAAGGAGCGGGGATGATACGTGGGGGCCACCGTGTCCAGCTGCGTGTTTGACAGCCGACAACCGACCCCCCTCCCCGGAGCCCTAGAGAGGCCTAGCCTAGGGTCCATCCCTGAGAACACCAGCACTGAGAATGGGGTTTTGAAGGGTGAGTAGGAGCTCGTTGGGCAGATCGCACAGGGGATCATGGACTGCTTATAGGAAAGTTTCAGAAAACGGGGGGTGGGGGCCGCCCATGTCATCAGCCTGGCCGTGGTGCTTGTGACACTGACCCTGCGGGTCGGGTCAGGACAGGACAGGACGGGGACAGGTGCCTTCCTAATTCCTGGCCTCTGCATCTTGCTGGAAATGGATCCATTAAGACTTTAGTGCGGTGGACACACCTGTGATCCCATCTTCTCCGGAGGAAGGCAGAAATCCGGAAGATCGTGAGTTCAAAGCCACCCTGGACACACACACACACACACACAAGTTAGGGAGACCCCATCTCAATTAAAGAGCCAGGCGGGTGGGGCACTGCTATAATCCCAGCACGTAGGAGGCCACAGGTGGAGAACCGTAGTCTGAGGCCAGCCCTACCTAAAAGAAAAACCTAAAACGTAAAAACGGTGGAGCGTTGAGGTGCGAGAGCCTGAGTTCAAACCCCAGCACTAAAAAAAAAATTTTTTTTAAACAGGTTTGTTGATTGCATCATTATCATGAGGTCAGGGCCAAGGTCAGGCGGAGCTGGGGTTCTGGCCCGGGCTGCAGGTGGACTGCGCGCACCACAAGCGCAGCTGGAGGACATTTTGCAGGGCTGCGCTTTCGCCCCCGCAGCGGTCGGGACCACGGCGCGCCCGTCTCCGCCATCCCGGAACAACCAGGAAATTTGCAGTGCGGTGCCTGCCTACGATTGGTCATCGCTACTCGGGGGGGCGGGACGAAAACTTGACGCCGATCTCCCAATGGCCAGTGCTGGCAGGCCGCGCTATGGCGGCGGCTAACCATAGGCTGTGGTGCTGAAAGAGGCGGGGCAAATACGAGTACGTCAGTCTCTGGCATGCGTGATGTGTTTCCGACACTCCTAATTGGTCAGTGTATTTGACAGTTTCCTTCCGGTTTGGAAACAAAGCCTGCTTACTATTGGTCGATATTGCTCGGGGCGGGCTCAGTGCAGCTCGAGGCTATCAGCGATTGGTCGGTTGGTGCGGCTAGGGGCGGGCACATGGGTCACGAGGACAGCGTGCGACTGGCTGGCGGCGCCTGGGGCGGGGCGGATTGGCACGGCGCTTCCTGGGTCCCGGGGTGGCGATGGCGCAGGATGGCTGGCGGTGGCTGCGCGGGCTGTGGACGGCGGGGCAGCCCCTGTTCCAGGGCCGCGCGCTGCTTGTCACCAACACGCTGGGCTGCGGCGCTCTCATGGCGGCCGGGGATGGAGCCCGCCAGTCCTGGGAGATCCGCGCCCGGCCCGGCCAGACCTTCGACCCGCGGCGCTCAGGTGACCCTACACCCCGGGTGACCCTTGACCTTTGGCCTCCGATCAGGAGATCCCTGCACCGCACCAGCGGGATGTGAGCCCTGACCGTGACCTCAGCCCCTGGTTGCACCCTTGACGTTCGCTTGCATTCACGTGGACACGGGCCTTCCCTCCCCCGGTGTCTGTCTCCTGCTGTCCCCGGTCCCCATCACCTCTCTGCCCCTCACCGAGATTCCAGAGCCCAGGGTCCAGCTGAGTGACGTGCACAGGATGCATTTGCAGGGGGTGGTTTTGCACGGTGCTCATTGCACGGTGCTCATTGCACGGGGCGGGCGTTTGCACGGTGCTCATTGCACGGGGTGGTTTTGCACGGTGCTCATTGCACGGGGTGGCTTTGCACGGTGCTCATTGCACGGTGCTCATTGCACGGGGTGGCTTTGCACGGTGCTCATTGCACGGTGCTCATTGCACGGTGCTCATTGCACGGGGTGGTTTTGCACGGTGCTCATTGCACGGGGCGGGCGTTCTGCACGGTGGGCTGCATGCA